CTGTGGATGGTCAAGTCCCATGAAATATACAATCACATGGTAAAATGGTGTCCCTTATATAAAATGCCAAAGTCAAGGTTTGCTATTTGGAATTTACACTCGGCTCTCTGCATTTGCGGCTTTGACTTTTGCAGATTTGATTATCTGTGGATGTGATTAATATGCCCTCTAGGAATTGCTAGGTCCTCCAGAGAAATTCTGCTGGGAGTTGACCATAGAGTTCCACTGGAGGACCTAAAGATTCCTATAGAAAACACTTATCTAGACATTTGTAAGTCCTGCAACATGCTTCTATGGTTAAATTCTGGCAGAGGTCTGCTGAATTAGATCAAGTGAAATCATTTTATCATTCGCTTGACTCCCAACAGTAGTACTGGAAGGGAAATATGGAAAAATTCCCTATGAATTCCGATTCTGTCCTTGTGATACTGGTGCTATAGAAACTACAGCTCATGTACTTTTGTATTATCAATTTTATAACGACATTTGCCCCCAGCTGATTACCTTTCTTTTAACTAATTTCCAGGACACACTGATCTTTTTTTATTTAAGCTATCTGTTGGAGAGTCAGAAACAAACTGTTATACTTAAAATAGCAAAATTTTACTACATTATCTATAAAATATATCTTCAGATGGTTAGTAATAATTGATGTTAGATGGAATTAATTTTGTTCCTTGTTTTAATAATTGTATTTTTATTTTTATACTGGTCAATGACTGAAATAAATTGTTCCTGTTGAGTTCTGCTCGAGGACTGAGAAATTCCTAGAGGTGTTCTCAGGTTTAAAAAGTACTATTTATTTATTGGCGGTTTTTTCACTTTCACGGGGGCCCTGTGCCCCTAACCCCAGCGAATATGGAGGGACAAGTATATATATTTTTTCAGTATTTTGAAGCCTTGGATGCTTGAATCCGTGGACAAACAAGCCATGGATACAGAAGGCCAACTGTACAATGCAGGGATTTATGGCACGCATAAATGGCATAAATGACATATTGGAGGCAGTGGCGTTGCTGATGTTGGTGTCATCAGGTGTGTGGGGGCCTTTCCACCCCGCCTGTCCATCCAGACCACTGCTGAGATTTTCGGGGGGGCACAATCTTCCAGAGTCCAGCACTGCTGCAGCCATATGGGAATCTGATGGTAGTTGCCCCCCACGAAGCTTTCAGGGTCCAGTAGGGCCACAGCCACACCGGACCCTGAAGGCAGCCCCCCCAAAGGCCTTCAGGGTCTGGCACGGCTGCAGATATGCCAGACTCTGAAGGCAGCTACTGAGGAGTGGTGGCACTGTGGCCTCTGGAGGGCACATTTAGAGTCTGGTGCAGCTTCCGGGCAAGCAGGAAAGCGGCTTTTCTTGCTTGCTCAGTTGCCATGCCAGTCCCCCTAGGTCAGAGGTAGGCAACCTTTTTGAGCTGGGGGCTGGGTTGCTGTCCCTCAGACAATTGGGGGGCTGAAGCACCAAAAATAAATAAATAAATAAATAAATAAATAAAGATTTAAAAAATATGCATGCACACTCTCTCAGCCCCAGAAAAGCCATGGCAAAACCCCTGTGGAGATTTTGCCAAGAAAACCCCAGGAACAAGTAATAACAACAATAATCAATATCATCATGGCGGGCAGGGTGGCGGCAGCAGGACTGGCCTGGGGCCGGTCCAAAGGCCTTGGGGGGCCGCATCCGGCCCCCGGGCCTTAGGTTGCCTACCCCTGCTCTAGGTGTACCATCCGCCAGATGACAGCCCCTTCTGGGTTGTCACCCAGTTTGGTCTACACTTGCTGCACCCAAATAATGACGCCACTGATTGGAAGTATATACCCCCAATAGATTTCCAATAGGCCTTCTTGGTGGCTGCTCCCAGGCTTTGAACTTCCCTCCCACAGGAGGCTTTGGTTGGCTCCCTCACTGTTCTCTTCTTGCAGAAGTTCAAAAGACTTTGGGCTATTAACTCATTGTTGTAGAAGAGTCTTTTAAGGGCACGCACTGTGTCTCCCCCTTCATTCCTATGTTTTGAATGCTTTTGATTTATTTTTTTTAGAAAAAAAAATAGCGCTGTTTTTAATAGGATCATTTAATGAATTGTTTTTAAAAAGTTTTTTAAATTATAATTTTTTTAAAGCTGCATTTTGTTTGTATCTGTGCTGTGACTTGCCTTGAGTCCAATGTTGGGAGGAAGGTAGAGTATGCCTTAAATAAACAAACAAGCAAATAAATAAATAAAATTACCTCCTTCCTGCCTGCCTCTCATTTGGTTATCATGCTTCCATTATGTCTATGATATATGTTGTAAAAAGGGATTTCTGTGACCATTTCAAGCTGCTGTTCAAATTGAATGTGTCCCAAAGGGCATGCCAAGGTGACCAGAGGAGGTCCATGGAGTATTTTTGGAGTGGCTTGGGAGAAAGAAGGGGGGAAATGGGCAGAGATCCTACATTACAATCCACATTTCATAAATTTCTGAATTCTGTCAAATCCAGCAGGATGCCTAAATTCAGAAATGCAGGCTGAGTAGTAAACTACAGGTCCAATCTGGTGACTTTCATTGTCAGAACTGACCCACAGATATTGCAATCACATAATTAAACTACACATAACTCAAACTTGAAGCAAGATTAAGTCTCATTTGTTAAAATTAATAAACACATTTCTCTTTTCTTTCCTACACTGCCCCTTTCTCTTTGTTGTTATAACCAAATGCTTTCTTACCAATGATTTTGAATGAGTTTGCCTCCTTCCCTGGTTTATCTCAGCACCTGTGTCTGAGATAACAGTTCTAAAACATTCCTGAACTATACTGTCACAACTACATATCCCATTATTACATTATGGTAGGATAAAAGCATATGTGACTCCTCACAATTCATAGCTACGTTGCAGAGATACAACAAACCCGTTAGTGAATTGTGCAAATGTAGATATATGTCCCATACTGAATGTCAACCTGGGTCTTTAGTCCCCATAATGTGTAACTGGGAATTATTTTATAAAGTACAGTTGCCCCTCCATTTTGGTGGGGGATCCATTCCATCCCCGCCCCCATGAAAAGGAAAACTCACAGATATTCAAGCTTCATTGGCTAGAATGGCTGAGCGTGGCTTTGTGCGCATGCCGCAGGTGCGCACACCATTTTAGCCAATGGGGCTTGCCAGTCTGTGAATGATCATCAAAGTCCATCAAAACAGAGGGGCAACTATATGTTGCTTTCATCCAATGGTAGAATAGGTTGAGTCTCCTTTATCCAGAATTCTTAAATTCAGAATATTCCAAAAACCAAAATTTTGTTCATGGCTGGATGAGATATTGACACCTTTGCTTTCTGTTGGTTCAGTGTACACAAACCTGGTTTCATGCACAACATTATTTTAAAATATTGTATAAAATTACCTTCAGATTATGTACATAAGGTGGTATATGAAATATATATGAATTTTGTGTTTAGACCTGGGTCCTATCTCCAAGATATCTCATTATGTACATATATGCAAATAAAGGTATTTTTAAAAATTGTAAAAATTTCAAACACTCATGGATTTCAGATAAGGGAGACTTAACCTATAGATGACATTTCAGACGCAGTGGTAAAACACCAAACTAAAACTCAGTAACTTTGAAGATTGAGTTAAAAGACCTTGCTGAATTAAGAGCACATTGGTATTGGTATTATTACTATTGTTGTTATTGCTGCTATTGTTTAATTGGATCCCACCTTTCTTACAGTCCTGAGACTCAAGGGGCTTACAAAAGTTAAAATAGAATCAGCGAAACATATACAGTGTGATGTAGTGGTTTGAGCATTGGACCATGACTCTAGAGACCAGATTCCAAATCCTGGCTTGGCCATGTAAACCCACTGGGTGACCCTGGGCAAGTCACACTCTCTCAGCCTCAGAGGCTGGCAACAGCAAACCCCCTCTGATGAAACTTACCAAGAAAATCCCATGAAAGCAAACCCTAGTGTTGCCATAAATTGGAAATGACTTGAAGGCACACAACAACAGCAAACATATACACCATACTAAACTGCCAGTAGAATTAAAAGCAATTAAAAACATGCTCATTAAAAAAGAAAAACAGCAAATATAGATAATACAAAGCCCCTTTCTCCATGAGCAATCATTCTTTCCCAAAGGCTTGCTGAAATAAAGTCTTCACCTGCCTACTTGAGGACAGCAAGGAGAACACCAGTTTAGCCTGTCTAAGAAGGGAGTTTCCAGAGCCGTAATTAGTTTCCAATCTATTTTACGGAACAAATTAAAGTAGAAACAGATTAATATTTACTGAGGGCATTGGCCTGACCAAGCTTAGCATCACGCGCAGGGTGAGAAAAATGATAATGCCAAGGCAAATAAATGGAAAGGCAGACATCGGAGTTTTATTGCTTTGTAAAGTTTAAAGTCTCCCATTTATCACCTGACTGGGTGAATGATCATACATGTAATTCAGTGGAAAGGTAAGCAACACTTAATTGGTAAGCAAGAATAATTTTGATAGGTGAAAGTTTTCCAACCCAGGTGCTTCTTTAGCCTCTTTGGCAGAGCTACCGTTTTGCTGATTGCTTCCCTCTCCTCCTAATTTACCTTCTTTGAAAAATAAGCAAAAATTACATAGCTGGTTTGCAACAAATGTTAGCTTTGGAATTGCCAAATAGCAGTGACTGATTGACTCAACCTCCTCACCCCTTTCACAGTGACCTCCTTAAATACACCCAAATCCAACATTGTCCACATGGGTAGCTGAGATAGTGACACCTTTGATTTCTGATGGTTTGGTGTACACAGACTTTGTTTCATGCACAAAATTATTTAAAATAGTGTGTATAAAATTACCTTCAGGCTCTGTGTATAAGGTGCATATGAAAAAAATGAATTTCATGTTTAGACTTGGGTCCCATCTCCACGACATCTCAGTGTATATGCAAATATATGTAAAGTAACACCTGAGGTTATCCCCAAAGTCAAAATCTGGCATCCTGTTAGGGATTTACATCACCCTAATATGAGCCAGCATGGCATAGTGGTCTGAGCACTAGACTATGACTCTGGAGACCAGGGTTTGAATCCCTGCTCAGTCATGGAGACCCACGGGTGACCTTGGGCAAATCACACTCTCTCAGCCTCAGATGATAGAATGGCAAACCTCCTTTGAAGAAACCTGCCAAGAAAAACCTATGATAGGGTCACCATAAGTAGGAAACTACTTGAAGGCATGAAACAACAACTTCACCATCATCAAATTACACATTGT